CACCCAGAAGTTGTATAATGTATTTTCATTTGAGTAATGAAATACCATACACTTTGTGTATGTTATTAACTTATTAGATGACAGATAAATTAACTTCCCTTTCTATACTCCATCTACCTGCTGAGCCTGGAGCCCACTTGTGTGCACCCCACTCTAAAGTATGCTCTGCAGGGCATTGACTATCCATGTTAAGTGTGGGAGTTCAGCACAAAAAAACCATACTTTTCCAGACACTCTTTGTGACCATGACTGTGAACCAAGCCAGCATCTCCAAACCTGTCTGCCCACCTGTCACCAGTGCTGAGCCACACGGAAGGGAGCTGCAGACCCTGCAGCGCAGCTCCCACTGTCTTGCCGCAGTCCTTGCTCCTATGATCCATTTGTCCTGTGCCCAGAGTGCTGGTTCACCAGCTACACCAAGGACCTGCCTGAGACACACCCCCGCCCCGGGACTCTTCTGTGGCTGTGGCCACCCGGGCCCATGTGTCACTGCCAGGCCAGGAAGGGCATGGTTTGCTCTGCATGAGGCTGGATGATCTTCCATGAAGTGTCAGTGTGCCTGTGTGTTTGTGTGCACGAGCCTCCAGGAGCACCGACCTGGAAGTTTAGGAGAGGTTATCAAAGTCACCCTTGATAGCAATTGCCCCAAGCTCTGCTCTTTGAGTATCCTGCCCTGATTATATCGCTGGATACCCTTCTCCAGACAGGGGCTGAGGAGTCCTGGAGAAGATGAGGAGGCCCATCTAAAGGGAGCCCGGAGACCCAGTTCAACTAGAGAGTGGCAACCATAGCAAAAAAGGAGAACCAGACTCTGGAAGGAGCTTCTTCATGAACTGACTGAATGAGATACATTTCATATAGGAACCAAGTACACAAACACACAGACACAGCAAAGCAAATTGCCTGAAACCACTCTATACTCTGATATCTTATTCTATTCTATTCCATTCCATTCTATACAAGTTCTTTCTTTCATCTGTTTGTTTTTTTAATGCTGGTCATAACCCACTAAATTAATTTCATGAGCCAAGGCACACAGAATGAAGAACATAGATGAGCGGGTTCCCCATGCAAAGTTATACTTCATTCCAAGCCCAATTAATCTGATCCCCCCAAAAAGGTACTTGCAGTGAAGTAGAACCTAGCTTTAGCACTGATATAGAGTCTGGGACATCAGAGAAGTCCATGAGCCCCAAAACCAATGTGGACCAAATCCCAAGCTTTTTTCCTATGTGATCATTATCAGAAAAGGCTGAAGGAAAAACCAGTAGGATTTATTCCGGAATAGCACAACACATTTCCACAGGTCAACAGTGTATATGATGGACAGGGACTTTCTTAAGATGGTTGCAACTGCCACCCCCCTTTCCTTCGCTCAACACACACACACACACACACAGAGGCACACACACTTCTTAAAGTCATCTTTACAAAGGAAAGATTTAGTGCCCTGTCATAAGAACAGGGCTCTCAACTGCAGATCAACATTTTAATTTAGAGGAATTAAAAGGTCAGTTAGACCTAACTTCTAAACTCCCAGGCTCCAGCTCCCTATTCCTTGGGTGATCTAGCCTGGCCAACTGACTGATGGACAATTCTAGGCCATCCTAGACATTGCCTGCAGCCAATCCAGATCTCAGGATGCTGTCTACACATTGAATGTCAAGAGATTCCAACTTAGTCTCTGAAGAATATGATGAGCAAAATATCCCTCCTTGTTTGTCCAAATTCATCCCTACCAGAAACCTCCAAATACCAGGGGATCTGCATGAGGGAAGCACGGCCTCCCACACTTGCGCATTGAAAGGGTTTGGAGCAGCAGAAGGATTTGAGAGTGTTGTAATCAGAACCTGATGAATGTCAGAAGGGAGACCTGCTCTGAATTCATCACTGAATGAAACAAGCCAGACCCGAAGCTTTCCTATCCTGCCTGTCAGGGCTTCACCTCCTGCTGGGCTCCTCCTTCACAGGAGCCCAGTTTTCAGCCAAGCTGCCCTCTGACCAGCCCTCTTGCTTACCAGGAGCTAAAAGTAGAATGTCTATGATCAGAAGTCAAGGCATCTCCTGGTACTTTGCCCTTCCCTAGGGAAGTGGCCACAGCCCTTCCAGACAGAAGCAGTTCCCTCTAGGATTATCCAAACCTTAATACCAGCCCCAGTTGGCTCCAAAAAGATGAAGTAAGGGATGGAAGTTGTAGAAAGAGCAGAGAAATACCTGGAGAGAGGAGTGGAAAGCGGCAGGCTGAGAGTCAGGAGCTACTACCTTCCTGGCCCTGGCTGGTGGGTGGGTCAGCTCTCACTGCTGCCCTGTTTTTGTACCAAAGTCCTCCCCCTCCCACCACAGCCCACAGCCCAGGGGGAGGGTTTGATGGGGCAGCTTCCTATTTCTTTCCTGGAAATGATTCATTTCCAGAAGTAGAAAGGGTTTCACTTTCTCATGCCTAGAAGCACCAGGATCCAAATGGTACAGGAGGCAGAGCAACACTGTCCTTTGCCACTTGGGCAGGGCGGCCATCGTTGGGGTTCCTGCTGCCCAAGCAGAGGTCAACTGGGTGCCACAGAGGCCCATAAGGGCCCTGCCTGCCTCCTCACCCCAGGGCCTGTGACCTCCTGCTTTGGTGCCGAGTCCCGTGCGACTGTGGACGTGCAACCCCAGGTGAAGCCTGGAGCCGCAGGGAAGTGCAGACGCATTGAGCGGTCATCTCCCTGGTTGCCTTGCTCCTGCCTGGGTCTAGTATTCTCCCCACCTCACCCCACCCTAGTTCCTCCCTGGGCTGTGGCATGTGCCCTTCAGCAGGGTGCTCCTCTGCCTTGTCGTCCTCCCTCCATCCACAGGACCCCACCGAGGCAGCTCCTGTTACCTGTTCCCACATGCCTTGGCCACTGTGCACGCCCCGGACCCCTAACATGAGACTGTAGAAGCCTCGCTGACAGCCATGCTCTGCACTAGATACGGATGGAGAAATCTGAGGCACCATGCTCATATTGTTTGCTCTATAGCCTCAGATCTGGGTCCCGTGCACACAGGGCCACTTGTGACTGGTGCCTTGTTTGAATCTTTGTGTCCCCCAAATTTACATGTTGAAACCTAATCACCAGAGCAACTGTATTAAGAAGTGGAGCCTTTAGGGGGTGATTGAATGGCATTAGTGATGTTATACAAAAGGCTTGAGGGCTGAGGGAGCCTGTGTTTGTCCCTTTTGCCATGTGAGGACACACAGAAGGTGGCATCTGTGAAGCAGAGCGAGCCCTCACCAGACAAGAAATCTGCTGACTCCTTGATCTGGGACTTCCCAGCTTCCAAAACTATGAGCAATAATTCGCTGCTGTTTATGAGAGTCCACCCACTCCAACGTTTCTTATTACAGGAATGCAAATGGACTAAGACAACTGGCCAACATGAGGTCAAAGTTTGAGTGCCAACAGTACACACTACTTGCTACACGATCCTGAACAGCTGCTTAATCTCTCAGTGATGCCCTTGTCCTCTGTTTCAAATGGGGTCACTACAAAAAGCTCCCCAGGATGTTTAAAGTAAGTGAAGAGATAGATGCCCCAGGGCAAGGGGGCTGTGAGATTATAACAAGATGATAGAGTGTGTCTCTTTTCCAGGGATTAGCAATTGCAAGACCACTTATGCAGCTAAGAAATTGTGAAATTGGCTTTGCCACCCTTGAATCCTTGCCCTGATCAGAACAGAACTAGTGTCAGATTGAGGAGACAGGACAACAGGATCGCGGTAAGGAGCCTGTGGATGTGCTTTTGCCGAAGAACAATGCTCAGGGCTAGAAGGAGGAGCCCAGTGTGCAGGCCCCAGCTCTCCAGGGGCTGGAAGACCTCTGTCAAAATGCACTAGAAATACCCACCTGTTGCAGAGACTGAAGAGGCAAGAGGCGGCCTGTGGATTGGGGCTTTTCCTATCCCAAAAATCCCACAGGGGATCCCAGTGAGCCCCTCCTGGCCCTCATTCTAGAGGGAAGGAAGTAGCATTCGCCACCCCAGAGGCCATGGAGGCCGACTGCAGCTGTATGTCCCACATGAGTGAGACTTGCCTGCTTTTCCCGCTGCCTCTCCGCTCCCCACCCCTCTACCCTCCAAGGGTCCCAAACAGCAGGGACTCAAAGCAGAAGAGGTGGGAGAAGGGAAAGACCAGAAGCTGACAATTTGTTTGTCCCTACTGCTGATTTCTCAGTCTGACGTGGGACTGACTGGGATGAGAAAAATTTAGGTTTGACAAGGGTCTGGGGTTGGTTTATCAGAATGTCTGGACTTCTGATGACTTGGTGTGACCAGGAGAGAGGATATTTCCTGAACATGGCCAGGGAATACTAATCATTCCTGCGTAATATTTTGGTCAGTTACCGGGGAATACCGTGCGTCCCTGTTGGAGCAGTGACACAGGGGGCAGATGAGGGGAATCAAGTTGCTTTCGTTGGTCCCAGAGAAGATTCCTCACTTCCACCTCACTGTGTCCCTGGTACCCAAGGGCCAGATCCCTTCAGTGAACAGGGTCATGGGCAGTGAAGGGACCTCGGCCTGCCCAGCACTGGCTGTAGAGGGGAGAGGCCCCAGGGGCTGGGTGGGAAAAAAGAGAAGGAGGAGGGTCTCACTGCATTTACACTGGCCCAGAATCCTGGTCCGTCACTCTCAACACCAGTTCTGCTCACTGAAGCCTTGTGCATTCCTGTCTGTCATGGAGAGCCCTAGTCCTGGCCCAACTGGTACCTTGCCGTCTCCTCTCTCACTGGCCTGAATAGTTAGTGGTCAAAGCCTTTCACTTTCCTATTCCCAGAAACTCCTGCCTTATCGCAATAGAAGAAAACATAATCTGATTTCACTTTTCTCATCAATATATGGAACTTTGAAGAAAAAGGTAGAATCACTAACTAAAATTCCAATACCTTCCACTTTTTAATAGGCAAATAAGACATTTCTGTTCCATATACTGTGACTGGGGTAAAATAAAAAACATCAGGTATGAAACCCAGTCTTCCTCCTAGTGAGAGATTTGGAGCTCATTCTCTCTGCTTTGGGCCTCAGGCTCTTTGGAGATTAATCAGCAGTGGTAGCCCTCAAGGATGTGGGGACCACACTAAGGAAACCCCCGGTTCCCTGGGATCTCAAGGCAGGTTTCATTCATGACGAGAGTCCCTATGTCTCTTGCCATTCTGGCCCATGCTGGCTCAGCCACAGCAAGGTAAGAAGACTCAAAGGGTTTTGCCAGAACTTCTTCCCTCTTTGTTTTGGGAACAGGCAACTGTTGCCCAAACAGATAACATGTACATCCATCAGATTTGACATTCTTGGAACAACAGATGGGGTGAGAGTGGTCATAGCCAGGTGTCAAGTGTAGCCAGACAAGTAGAAGGCAACAAGAAGAGATGCTTTTCATGAGAAATCTGCGAGAGAAGGAAGAGGTCTGGGGAGTTTTTCTGATGGCTTGTCCCTGGGTGGGGAAGGCTACAGACAGAGAGGGGTGAACAGGCATCTGATACTAGAGAAAGTGTCCCAGAGGGGGCTGAGGTCCTGGGTCATTCTCAGCCAACTAAAAATATATGTCTAAGAAATTTGCCGGACATGGTGGCTCATGCCTGTAGTCTCAGCTACGTGGGAGGCTGAGGCAGGAAGATCGCTTGATCCCAGGAGTTTGAGGTTACTGTGAGCTAGGCTGACGCCACGGCACTCTAGCCCAGGCAAAAGAGTGAGACTCTGTCTTAAAAAAACAAAGAAGTGACTGTTGTTCCAGATGCACAGAAATCAACATAAATACACAGGAAGCAGAAAATGAGAAGCAATATCACAACCTCAAAGGAATCTAATAATTCTCCAGGTATGGATATCTGAAAACAAAGAAACAAACAATCCCACAGCAATTCTGTAACTGGAGGCCATTATCCTTAGCGAAAAAAGTCAGACACTGAAAGACAATTATCACATGTTCTCACAAGTGGGAGCTAAATAATATATGCACAGGGACACAGAGTGTGGAATGACAGACAGTGAAACTCAGAAGGGGAGGGGTTGGAGTGGACAATGAGGAACTACTTAATGGGTACAACATGTTATTCGGGTCATGGATTCACTAAAAGTTCTGACTTCACCACCACACAATCTATGCATGTAACAAAATTGCACCTGTACCCCATAAATTTATACAAATGAAAAAAAAAAAACAGAAAGGATTCTTACAAGTAAAGCAAAGGGAGGTCATTAGGTAACTGCTTTCTTCCTAGTTTCCATCAAATTGTTTTCATCCACACTGTCCTTTCCTCTGTCAGAGAAGAAAGGTCCTTTTAAGCTCTCACTTTCCCTCTGTGCTCTGGGTCCCAGGTCCCCCCACTTCATTAGGATTTAGTGCAGTCAAGAATCCCCATTTTCTGTATGCTACTGTTTCAAAATACAGATACTCATCTGTTTGTGTGCAAGCATCCTGGAAACATGAGGACCAAGGGTGAGTAAGGGGTGATGGCAGGGACACCACAGCAGTGACAGCCTGCATGACCGCATAGTCCTGAGGTAAGCATCGGTCCTACTAGGAAATGAAAGGAAAACAAAGGTATTCCCAAATCCTGGGGGTTAAACCCACATGAAAACAATCCATTTTCACTTGTGGATGCCTGAACGTGCCTCTGTACTGGCATTGGCTGGCTCTGAAATGACAGTGCCAGGTAGAAAGGACGGCAAGTGGTGAGTATGGAATAGATGACTGTGTGTCCGTAATTTCAGAGCCAGCTGGAGTGCCATCCAATCGGATGGTTTAACTTTTGAAGGAGGGGGAGACAAGAGAATGACCATGGGTGAGCACCTGAGTATGAGCCATTGGAATAAATAAGGCTGACATCTGAATAATGAATGATGTCATCCTAGGGTCATGGGGACCTTGGCATTGCCCAAATTAAGGCCATTTTTCAGCCTTTGTATAATCAGGACTTTCTTGCTGTATTTGATATGGTTGATCACTTCCTCTTTCCATAAACTCCTCCATGGCACCACGACAACACATTCTCCTGATTTTCCTCATACTAATGTGACTGTTCCTTCTCTGTCTCCTTCCTGGGTTACATTTCTTTTCTTCCACCTCTGAAGAATTCATCCATCCTCTGGTTTCATCTACCTCTTTTCTGAGGACTTCCCAGTCTCTACCAATAGCCCAAGATTCTTCATAGAGCTTCAAAATCATGTAGCCCAGCATCTACACAGTGGGTCACCTCCATGTGATGTTCCTTAGTGCCTCCATCTCAACCAGTCCTAAGCAGAAATCAGCCATTTCCCCGCACATCTGCTCTCCCTTATTGTCTATCTCAGTTAGTAATGAAACCATATTTCAATATACCCAAGCTACAAAGCCAAAATCTATGCCCTCTTCACCCTACCTAACCATCACCATGTCCTGTTAACTTAATGTCTTATATTGACATTCACTCTGGCACCTCTTGTCTTCTACCTCCCAACAATTACCATGCAAAGTCAGGCTGCCATGCCTTGCCTAGACAATTGCACAGTCCCCTAACTGGTCAGATTCCGTTGATAGTCCTTTTAAAGTTTTTCTCAAAGAAACCCGCAGAACTGCCTTCCTAGCACCTATATCTTACTTGTCACTCCCTTGCATTAAACCTCTTTCATTATTTCCCTCCCTTGCCTTTTTTTGGGAGACAGATTCTTGCTCTGCTGCCTGTGCTACAGTGCCGTGGCGTCAGTCTAGCTCACAGCAACCTCAAACTCCTGGACTTAAGTGATCCTCCTGCTTCAGCCTCCTGAGTAGCTGGGACTACAGGCATGTGCCACCACACCCTATAGATGGGTCTCGCCCTTGCTCAGGCTGGCTCGAGCTCCAGACCTCAAGCAGTCCTCCTGCCTCAGCTTCCTGGAGTGCTAGGATTATAGGAATGAGCACCCAGCATAAAATATTTCTTGATTTTTGAAGTTAAATTATGTTTTAAGTTTTTAAAATCAGATATCTGCTAATTAGCATCTGGGAAAACTGTTCTTAAAGAGTATGTTTCAGAAAATCTAAATCAATTGATATCGATTTTTACCCGTTTTCCAAAATGTATCATTTCTGTATTTTGCTTTCTAATGGTCTTATTTTACATTTGGACAGTTTATTTCTTTTTTGCTGCAGTGTACATAATAGTATTATGTATTTCTCTCTTGGACATTTTATCTGCCCCACTCTGGGAACCAAGTTACTCAGGGCAATAGAACCTGGAGAAAGAACCTCTACATCATTCCTAAATAAACTCAAGTTAAAAGTTGCTAAATGGCGCATTAGGGAGACTACTATGTTGAGAAACCAGACCCAACATGCTGACCTTAAGGCCACCTTACTATTCCTCCGTCATTTCTTTGATAAAAGTTTACGTTCTTCCTAATCTGATTAGCTTTTACATGCCTACTATATTTCTAAGTCAGCCAGTAAAACCATTTTAATCACTTCCCTAGTGGTCCACGAAATAAGCAATCATTTCAATGATTTTGATATAATTCAACTATTTATTGGGTCATCACATAAATATTATGAATTATGAATTTCCTTTCCCGTGGATACATACCTGATAGTGGGGTTACTGGATAATTTGATAGGTCTATTTTTAGTTTTTTGAGAAACTTCCATACTGTTTTCCTTAATGGCTGTACTAATTGACAATGCCAACAACAGGATATAAGAGTTCTCCTTTTCTCTGCATCAAACAAACTCTTCCTTAAGGACAAAAGAAAATATGAGAAAATTTTTCTCTTTTGCCACCATTTTTTTATTCTTTTAAAAAATTAGAATTTGAAAATAAGCCTCAGCTCAAGAAAAAATATCGTGCATGTTGAATTGTATTTCACTTCATTAGCAAAGATAAGCAAGGAGCTCTATTCCAATAGGAGATTTTTGAAAAGTATAATTGAAAACAACACTGGATGAGGGACAAGCTACAGGTCCTGGTCCTGTTGTCTGTGTCCATAGTACTGAGTGACGTCAGCAAAATGGTGACCTAGGAACCTCCAAATCCTATTCTTCCATAGGAAAAAAAACATCCCCACAGATTGGTTAAAATAAGCTTGTGGAAACTCTGAAAAACACTCTGGTGTCAGCGGGTGTGGTGGCCACCCATACTCCGCGGAGGCCCTTAGGGTTTGGAGCCCCAGAAGGGTCTGTGAACTCAAGATTCACGAGTGGATAACTAAAATTTGGTATATGCTCACAATGGAATACTACTCAATTCTAAGAAATGACAGTGAGCTAGCACTGTTTATGCTATCCTGGATTAAGCTTAAACCCGTTATCCAAAGTGAGGTGACACAAGATCTAGAAAACGGGCTCCATATCTACTCGCCATCAAATTGGTACTGACTGATTAAAACTATGATGCTCAAATGGGGACAGTGCCCACTAGGGTGTGGGGGAGGGGGAGATACACATCTTAGGGTTGTGGTGAGCATGGGGTGGTGGGGAAGGAAATACATCTTACCCTTCCAAGGGAAAGGCTAAGATATACAATGTAACCCAAAGGTCAAAAAAAAAAAAAGGGAAAAACAAACAAACAAACTTTTATCGGCTGGTGGGCAAATGGGAGGGTGGAGGAGGAGAAGAATTTGCACTTACAAAATAGGTGCGATGCGCACCACCTGAGGGTAGGATGCGCTTGATGTTTTGGTAAGGGGGGGGCGGGGCAGGAATGGCAGGGGCAATATATGTAACCCTAACAATATTTGTACCCCCATAATATGATAAAGTAAAATAAAATAAAAAATAAAAATAAAAAACCGATGGGAAATGTTGTGTTTGGAAGTGGAAGTGTTAAACCACCTCTGTGAAGAGTGCACCCTCTGTACTTGTTCACTGGGTTGAAGGAGGTGGGAGGG